AGATTTCTTACACACAGCAAATCAGAGTAAGGTTCCAACTAAAATAAATGCACCAATGGGACTTAAAAGGTCTGTGGGTCATCTACTAGCATTGTGCTAATTTATAAACAAAGATGCAGCCAGTTCTTGCTAATGACAGGCATTCTACCAAGAGCAGCACAAATTAGCAGGTCACAAAACATCAGATCTGATGACAGAGCAAGCAATGTGCCAAGCAAAATAAGTCAGTGTACGCACAAGTGTTGTGGAAACATTGTGGCAGTTCAGATCAATTACCTGCAGCTGGGAAACGCAGAGTTTTGATATATGGGCAGGTTCTGTACGAAATTGCTGTAGAGTGTGGATAAATGTGTGTGGTGTCTGGATAATTCTGAGTGCAAGATTCAGAATGATCGGCTCCATCACCGAGCGGGGGTGGGGGGGTCGTGGTTTGGTCCCGCCTTCGCCATTGTGGTTGATGTGGAGGTTGGGACGGGCTTAGGGCGTCTGGAGAATCCCTAGGGACGTTATCCCTGGAGGGCTTAACCCAGGGGTTGTGCTCATAACCTGGTTAGTGGCTCTGGTTGCTCTTAGAGGGTGTTCTCCTTGTGGCTGCGTGCAGCAGGCCTGGGGGAGGGTCTGTGCTGGCGGACGTAGATTACTGGCCTGGTAGCCTGGCTGCCCCTGAGTGGATCCGGGGCAGGCGTGGGGGCTTGGGGTTTGGGAGTGCTTCGCCTCCGTGCTAGGGCTCTGGCTGGGCCTTGGGGGCTTCGGTCCTTGTTGGTGTGTCGCCAAGGTTGTGGGTGGGTGCATGGGGGCTCAGCCCTGGCGCAGGGGGCCTCTGGCGCATCGGCCTAACTAGGGGGCTCTTCAACTGACAGGGAGTTTGTTCCATCCTTGCAGGAGTCCACTCTGCAGGTGGGGGAGAGTCACAGGAGAGGTGGAGAATAAACTTAACCTGGGTGTCTACTGTCTTGTCCAGTCTGGGAGATGACTGAATGTTAGGGTGGATACAGTTTCCTCTGCGGTGGGGTCGGGTGGGCTGCCCCGGGTCCTGTGGGGCTGGGCGGTCCTGCTGCCATAGGCCCCGGTCTGGATGGGCCTGGGCCCCCTTGCCTTGGTGGGTGCCGAAGGACGAGGGTGCCTACTGGGGTCAGCGGGGGAGCTGGCCCCAGGGAGGGGCATCTTGCTCCTCCCTTCTTTTCCTCCCCATCCCCGGCTGCCTCCCTCCAACACACCCACCCACACAAGTAGGGCCTTGGGGTGCGGGTGTGTCACCAGGGTGCAGGGGAGGCACCCCCCCCCCCCCTCTGTCCCCTTCTGGCCACCCGTGCCTCAATTTTATTCCACAACTTAGACATCCACATTACTCACACTCGGTCTGTGTATTCAACCCCACCTCTGGCGCCGGTGCCCACCTCTCAATTTTAAATCCATGTAGACATTGAGGGTTCTCGGGAGGGGCCGTGCTAGCACCTGCTGCTCTCTGGCAGCAGCACCATGCTCTCCCGTGTTTTAAGTGCACCTTAGAACAACACGCAGCAACACTACATATGAGCAAGAGGAGGGAGGTTTGGAGCCTTCACACACCCCTGTTCTCTGCTGGCTATCGGGGCGGGGGAGGCTGGAAGGAGGTGTTGGCCGTTGGAGGCTGGAAGGAGGTGTTGGAGGTGTAACGTGGAAGCACAAAGGGAAATCACAAGGAACTACCTAAAAATAGACATTTTAAACCCTTATATGGAAGGTCTTTGGAGTGGTGTCTTTTTCTCTATATTTAGGAACCGTAGCAGTCTGACAGAAAGCGTCTCTTTAGTTTGAAAATGGCTTGGGGTTGATAAAGCAGTTTCTAGTATTCCTAACCACTCAAAGTGCTTTTTACACAAGCCACATTCTCCCATTTACAAGCACACACACTCTTAAAGCACTTTTATTCTACTGTATTCAAGTTAAGCACTTTATCTAGCACACACACACACACACACACACACACACTGATAGATGCATCAGAGCAATTAAGATTCAGCTTCTTGCTCAAGGGCATTTCCACATGCAGACCAGAGACACTGATGATCAAACTGCTGTCCATATTCACAAGTTCCTGTATATGAAGACAAAATCCAAGGAAAATGGTACACTAAATTCTTTACAGACCATTTTTTAATCTTACTTCAAGACATAAGCATGTTTACTACTAATTATTCAACGCACACTTATAAATAAATGCACACAATTTTAAACAGGTCAGTGCAGTCTCTCTCACAGCTTGGTTTGAGGCCCCTTTTTTTCTAAATGTCAGTTTAGAAAAAAGGCAGTAGGACAGTGCATGTTCCCCAAGTATCAGCTCTCATATGTAGGTTGCTGTGAACTTGGATAATTGCTTATCTGGTTTGGTGAATCCAAAATGATGATAGGTTGCCCCATCATAAAAATGAGAGAAAAAAAACCCCAGAAGAACTAAAATCTGAGAGCAAATACAGCACAACATAGTTTGATCTATCGTATCAGTACTTCTAACCTCATTGTTTTCCCATTTCCCCTCTTCCTCCATTTTTCTTCGGTTTCTCAAGGACAAATTAGATCAGAGTCGAACAAGTAGAAAAAGGTGAAAACACTGCTGTTTTGACAGTGAGTGAATGTGTGCTGTGTGTGAGGGTACAGTGTGTGTGTCCGTTTGTGGGAGCTGGAGAGAGACCAACGGGACAGATCTGGGACACTCAGCCACCAGCAGCAAAGCAGCAGAAAACTAAAACCAGGGCAGCCACTGAGAAACATTTCCATATGTGACAGGATGTTCGCCCTTAATTAAGCCCTCAGATCTTCTCCATATTCTATCATAATCATTCATATTCATTTACTCTGGAGTTGTGGCTGTAGACACAATCGTTTCCTTCGGGGCCACACTTTGAGCTGTTATGTGAAAAATCAGAAGCACCTCAGTAACCACACTCAATAACACTGAGGAAAACATGGATGAGTGCTTGTTATGCCATGGGCAGCAACAACAGGAAACAAAGTAAAAAGGGGGAGCCAGTGTAATGCATTTTAAAACTACTGTGTTAAATCTCACAGCCCTGACTCATTTCCGTGTATTAGTCACAGCGATGGCTGTCACTGTATAAAGTTTTAACACTCACTATTGACTGTTGTTCTACCAGATTTATGCATGGCGAAAATAAATTTGAATTTAAATTCTTTTATGACCTCTTTTCTTTTATTCTTCCTCCATTTGACAGCAAATATCTGAGAGCAAACATCAGAAAAGTCCAAGCAAACCCAGGTGCTCTGCACACACTACATCACTCTAGACCACTATCCCACTGTCATACCCCTGATTCAGTGGTTACACAATACAAGCAAACAGAGGCTGAGGCTCAGCATATCACTATTTACAGTCAGCAGCACCACTATCTATGACCATGAACACAGAACAGCTGTTTTTCTTGAGCAGATGACTCACTCAAACAGCCAGAGTGCTGGGTCTCCTATAGTTATTGCACAGATGCTAAAGGGTAGCATTAAGCGTTCGTGCTGTGTTTGGCGGGCTGGAGGACATGTTGGTATGCTAACAGTGAGAAATGTGATGGATGGATGGATGGGAAAGACTGGGATGGATGTTAAGTGTTCATATACTGGATTGAGTGGTAAATGATCATATGATAATAATGATTACGTGCTGTGTTATACTGACAATATAGCATCAGTGCTAGCATAAAAATAGCATAAAAATCCTGAAACTGAGCCTACAAATGTCAATACAAGCATCTGCAATATCGTATTGCTGTTTTATTCCCATGAAATGACACCCAAACACAACCATTAATGCATAGTTAAAGCGTGTTAGTGTGGTGAAATCTGTAATTCCATGGCTTTCTAGGTCAGTGGTTACCTGAATGATATTTAAACACTGCAGATTTCACCACCATGCAAGAACAGCTGTGCATGGATGTCACAGTGATATGATACTATGATTATGATTATTATTAGCGCAGTCAGCATTAATCTCATTAAAATGAGGTTAATACGGTGGCCCTGAGAGGCCAAACGGACTTCAACTTCAGAAAACACCTGCAAAAAGAAAAATGCTGCAAAAAGAAAAATGCTGCAAAAAGAAGCATTTTTCTTTTTGCAGCATATTTCTTTTTGCAAGTGTTTTCTGAAGTTGCAGTTCGTTTGGCCTCTCAGGGCCACCGTAGGTTAATGCCATAACTGCATTAACGCGGCAAATCTCTGCCCGTTAACAAGCTAACCGTGCTAACGTGTTGATGCCGTGCAGCCCCACACACGGGGCGATCACGGGTAACTCGCTAACGGAGATTTGCCACGTTAATGCAATTATGGCGTTAACCTGATTTTAATGAGATTTACGTTGACAGCGCTAATTATTATATTAACTGCTATATACCTTAGCTAATATTATTTTATCAGTGTGCTTAACACTTAAATGTGTAATAAACTGCAAAACAAGATTTGGTTTTAAACTTGAAATCTCCATCAAATTAAATTTTGGACACATAAAATATTCTGACAGGAATCATTAGAGTCTTATGTGCTAAAAGTTCAATTGCCTGTCTAGGAATAAAAAAATAATCCAAATGATGAATACATTTTCCAAAGCCCCTCTTCACAGCAGTCATTTTGACATGACAAAGTGGGACAGCACAGGTGTCTCTAATGATGTTAATGAAGGTTTTGTTCTATCTGCATGTAAGCCGTAATCAATGTAATTAGTCACACCTGTGTTTAAGAACTAAAAGGTCCAGTCGACAGATGAACTACTGGAAACAATATGTTACTTGTACATGTGTTAAACTCATACTAATAGGGAGTCTGCACAGCCATCATTGTGCACAATTAAATTCAAACAGTGAACTTCCAGTATGCAAATCAAATTTTTGAGTGCAGATTTGCAGTAAATGAAACTATGTGGTCATAGTTTCTGTGAGCCACTCGTAGAGGTGAAACACAAACAGCATGAGTACATAAACAAAGTAATGTAACTTGCACACAAATGCATGACTCACCCTCCTCTGATGTAATCCAGGAAGGTGTGCTCTGACTCTACACTGAATGACAACAAGGATACCTGAGAGGGAAAAAAAGGCCCCAAAAGATTAACTCGTCCTTTTTAATTAAACAAAATTTGCCAATCTACACATTAACACTGACCTCTCAAAATGACCTATCCATGCAAAATGATTGCGTTGCCGAAGCAGCGCCTTAGAATTACAATCACTGAGCGTCAGTGTGCCTGTGGACTGATGGATGATCAGCTTGATGGATAGCTAGGCACAAATTTTAATTACAGAGTCACAGTATACGCTAAGAGCTGTAGCAAACCCGCGGCTCATTTATGAACTTCTGTCACTATTCTTCAGGGAAAGGACACAGACACAAGTCTCTTTTATTTAGCTTTACAGACTTGAATAATCATCCCGTTTGAGGTCATGGGAATGTTTTCCCGTCTACTTAAATTCACTGTCTGGATCATAAGCTCAGGGAATGGGAATAGAAGAAAAACATTTAACAGAGTTCATGCAATCCACTTAGTGAAAACTTCCTGCTGAATACAAAAGAGAAGGCAGGCAGGGGTGTGCGTGCACAAGGAGATTTGCTCTTACAGTATCTCAGACTCACCGTCCCAGAGTTGATGTATCTCTTCTTCTTTATTTTCTTCTTGGCATTCACCACCTGGTATGAAGGCAGAATGGGAACGAAGGATAATGATAATGTAAACTTGCAGCACAATTCTTTTTATCCACCCTTGGGCAAGTAATAAAAACATCTTTGTCCTCCTACTCTATGTCTGTAAGGGTAATGGAGCATAGGGAGTGAATCCAATAACTGTAGCAGGTGAGAATGAGATACCATTGATCATGCCTTCCAGCTAAGTGCAGATAATTCAGAGGGATTTTTATAAGCATAAGCAGTCTACTGTAAATTTCACATGCATGCTGCCAGCTGTGGTGCTTATAACCACATACAGAGTGAGTGCAAGTGCACAGTTATGTGCAGTGGGGGTAGATGCATACAGCCAGGTCCAAGCTTTTGGATAGTGACACGATTTTTGTGCTTTTGCTTCTATGTACCACCACAGTGGAAGAAAGGAAATGAAGCTCAAAATATTGCTTCAAATTCAAATTTTCTGCGCAGTCCCTCCATTCCCATGCCATCAAAAGTAATTGTACAATTAACTGGTAAATTAAACTGATAAAAGGTATGCAGTTGATTCCAAAATTTGCATTTGGTAATTAGCCTGAGAAAACAAAGGCGAGCCATCAGAGAGAGCAGAAAATATAGGAGTGGCCAAGACAACAATCTGGCTAATTCTTAAAAGGAAGGAAAGCGCTGGTGAGTTCAAGCCTGGACGGCCATGAAAAGTAGCTTAAACTGAATGATCTCAGAATTCCTTTCACAACCTCTAGCCAAATCAAGAGCACCTCAACAGGGGTAGGCGTGTCAGAGCCTGCAATCACGACAAGTCTTCATTCATGTAACTACAAAGGGTTTAGCTCAAGCTGCAAACCACATGTGGCACTCAAGAACAGAAAGAGCAGATTACACTTTGCTAGGAAATGTCTTAGAAAATCTTGCCCAGCTCTGGAACAAGAAGTCTCTGGAGACAGATGAAACCAAAATTAACTAAGAGTGCCGAAAAGGAAAGAAGCAGCTTGTGATCTAAAGGAAAACACATCATCTGTCAAACATGGTGGAGGCGGTGTTTTAGCACGGGGATGCATGACTGCCAGTGGAAGTGGGTCACTAGTGTTTATTGATGATGTGACTGCTGATAAAAGCAGCAGAGACGACAGAGCTGCACTTTCTGCTCAGTTTCAGCCAAATGAAGAAAAACTGACAAGACAGCGCTTCACAGTGCACATGGACAATGACCCGAAACATGCAGTGAAAACAGCTTAAGAGCTTTTTGGCAAAGACATTAAATATTTTTAGATGACCTAGTCTTTCACCTGATTCCATCCCAAGTGAGCATGTTTTTCACTTACTGAACACAAAACTAGCCAAAAAGAAAAAAGGCAGAGCTCCCTTAATAAGCAGTGACTGAGCGAGGCTGACAGCATTTCAAGCGAGAAAACCTTGCACTTTTTGATATGCATAGGCTGTAGCCTTCGGTATGTTTATATAGCTGACATTTTGTATTAAATTACTTTGTCCAGCTACATATGCTGTGAAAATAGAGGGACTAATAAAAAAGTCTGTAATTCCTAAACAGTTGGCTTGCTTTTCTGGTTACCCGGTGTATGGTTAGAGGTTATACGCTGCACTTCAATTAGATATTGGCTGCTTCATTTCAAATCCTGTGTGGTGGTTTACAAGGGCATGAGTGCAACACTGTGCAAACACCTATAGACTTCACTAAAAACAAAAAATTGGGAAATACTTGAGTGATATCCAAGGCAAGCAGAGTGATTACAGTCTTCAGTGCATTAAATAAAAGTTACATTTAAGCTTGCAGCCAAAAACTTGTATGCAACAGTGAGCAAAGTCAAATATCTGCACTGCTCATTCTAAAGGTCTGCACACAAACACAAAGCATGAGCCTGGAGGAAGCTGTGCAGGATAATAAAGTAAAAGGTATCCCATTCTACCCTCCTTTCGTCTCTCTTCTCTACTCTTCCTTTCTGGTTCTGTACTTTCTAAAAGCGCCCCCTGAACTCGTCTTCCAAAAATTATGCCTCACAGCGTTGTGACCATCACTCAGCCGCCAAAACTTCACATGACATCACAAAGGAATCACATTCAGTTACAGCGTCCTGTACTGACATTAGCCTGCTGTCGTCGTATGTTTACAAGCTTTCTGCACGTCACGTTGAATATACAAAAATATGCAAAGAGCTGAAAAATGTGGCATGTGACATACTGAATTTCTTTATTTCTCCATAATGAGAAGGTGGTGTTATGTCATTTTTGTCCACATCACAAAAGTCTCTGACCTTACCTGCGTTTTATATATAGAAAGGTTTGGTGAAGGGTAATGGATGCACATCCTTATGCCGTGTCAGCAGTGTAAAAGGGCACCGTCTTTCCTAACCTAACTCATCAGCTTTTCCCTTACTCTCTACCTTTACTGGCCTTATTCTTTTCTTAGAGTGCTTCTATGACTGATTCAGAGGCTAATGTAATATGGCAACTGTTTTAATGAGCAGGGACCTATTCAGACTTTCTGAGTGCGATCCAAAGGAAGGAATAAGTAACATAGTTCTGTCGCATTTCCATTTGTATTCCCACCGCAGCAGCACTCTTCTCCAGTCGATCTATGGCACCACTTAACCTCTGAGAGGCTTAATAGCGGGTAGGGTGAGGACAAACAGGGGAGGCTAGTTGTTAATCTTGAACAGCCACAACTTTGCTCAAACAAGTGAGACCTGTAGAACTTCCTGTCATGAAAGAAGACCTTGCTGAGTATAAAGGGCACGCTGATTTGTTCTCAGACCGAGGCAGGTTTCTCACACTAGCATGCACAAAGGAAGCTGAGGTTTCTTTTTGTGCCATCAGAATCGTTTTTTGGCACAGGTGCTTCCAAGGTTCATTCATTAATAATTCGCACATAGCTTTGGCCGGTCACATTCAGCTCGATGTGCTGAATTTCACTTGAAACTGCGTCTGCCATAGTGGCTTCAGAAAGTGATTTGCATTCTACTTGGAAGCAGCTTAAAGCAAACGAGCTCCCTACAGCAGTCAACATTTGCAGCTTTTACATAAAGGTCCGCTGCTCTGAAGGTGATGATGGTATTGGTCGATTTTATCTCCGCTCACCTCATACACATTCAGCTGGTTCTGACCCCGACACAGCTCTTTGAAACTTGTGGTGAATTCACCGATGAAATCATGGCTGGTGGAAAGGAGACAAAAAGCGTCATCACAGCCTTGACTGGTGGAAGATAAAAGCACATAACCATTAATGTGTACTGAAAAGAAAGTAACTATAATTTAGTAGTCAGTAAGGACAGTAAAATAGCGTTGTCTATTAGGGATGAAAATTTTTTTTTGATAAATTTCTCTTGTGCATGTGTGTGCACACGCTCCTCTGTGTATCAGTTACCTCCCATCTCTGTCCCAGTCATACAACTCCACCTTGATTGTCCTAGGAAGCACATCAAAGAGCAGAAAATGTGTTTGTTTCCTTGTGTGAACATATTAATGCCTTGCGTGAGCTACAAACTTAATATTCTTGAGGAGAAATGTTACAAAGAGCATTTTGAAAGTGACAAACCAAGTTACTTAAGCTCATTAATTGTTAGTGAAAGCTGAATTAAAGCCATCAAAGAGAGCATGCTCTGTGTTTTGCATGCAAAAGACACAAACATCTTTCTAGAGATCTAATGGTGACAACATTTGTTTTCTCTTTGAAGCTATACTGCGTGGCAGCCTGAGTCATGTTAGGTTTTCAAAATTTATTAGCTGATTATTAAGCACCAGTCTCAGTAATTGCCAACATTTAAGCAAGACTGACAATAATACAAATTCACAGAGCTTATTGGGTTTCTGTCTGCTTAATTTATGTATAAAAAAAATATGGTGCGGATTAGTAAACTAGCATTAAATATTTAAATGAATTGTTTTTGTGTATCTCACAGAGTAAAGAGCTGGGCGACAACACCAACAGTTTAGGTAAAGCATTTTCTCCCCACATGCCTAAGACAGAAAAGTAACCTCTTGGGAAATAGCATATTTTGCAAGTTCCCAAAATAAGTCGGTAGGAGAAAAAAACAAATGAGCAAGCCTGAGAGAATATAGGCAGAATGAGGAAGATGCCTCCTCTTTTCTTCTCAGACTGATGGAAACTAGACTAGTGGCTTGCCACCCCCATCTTCCCATCAGCTGCTGCTGTCAGTCACTTGTCAGAGGATCCAAGAGGCAGATAAGTATCGGAGGGCTACTCTGTTATCCTGACCTGAACTAATTGTGTCTGCACTATTTTTCCCAGCTAACAAATGTCCAAATTGTGTAACGCACAAAGAAAGGAGACTTCCTCTAATGGTCTGTGATGAACTCATCACTTGTTTCCCTCTAAACCAACCAGACATTCAGAGTCAGAGTTAGAAAACTTTGCAATCTTGACTAGTATGAAAAAACAAATGATTCTTGACACTCAGGGCCACTTGTGACAGATGATTTGCCTGTGATGAGTCAGCATCATTATAATCAGCAGAGTTGGGGGCAGCTCGATCCTCGAATCAATTTCATTTTAGTTTCTGAAACCAGCGTTGTGTTGGAGTGGAAATGGGAGAGATTTCACTTTCTGATCGCTATCGAAGACAAATGATTGCAAGAGATTTATCAGATTCTCATGAGGGTGAAAAATGTGACTGCAGAGAGATAGTCAATACATCATTATTAATATATTGTAAATTTTGCTGTATATTTGCAGGAGAAAAGGGAACAAGAATGAAAGACGGTAGTGCAGAAAATACAGCACAGACCAGCCTGTCTGTGCATTTTACTGGAGTCCAAAAGAAAAGCCTGTGGGGGAGAAACCAGGCCATTTCTACTTATACAATTTAAAGAGAAATAAAAATGTCATGATTTGAAAAGTATTGGATGAAAAGACTGATAAATTGCAACAGCCGTGCTGCAGGTCTCCTGTATAGATCTCGGAAACTGTAGATATTTTAAAAGAAAAGCCAAGAGACCCTAAATGGCTGCAGATTTCTCTTGTCATCAAAATCCTCAAAGGGAATCAGGATACTTTCATGCTTCTGCTCCATCTGTCTGACCCAATTAGCTTCTCCGGGCAGGTGAACAGAGACAGGATTGAAAGCAGCGAACCTTCGCTGACACCCAGTGTAGCGGAGGCCATGGTTTGACATGTTCTTCTACACACTCGCGCGGCTGTCTGGGTCTAAACATTTTCCTGCTTCTGCACACAAACACACATAGAAGGGCTCCTGTGTTGTTCCAGCCACCTGTCAACATCTTTAGACCGACTCTCCCTCTCCTCTCGCTCTCTTTTTTCGCTCGTGTTATTTTATCTTCCTGCCAAAACTCTTCCTGCTCCTCGGGTATTCTGCAATGCCCTTCACTCTGAAAAGATTCAGATAAGCTAGAAGTTGCCACCAGAGAAACCAATCAGAAACCCTGCAATGCTCTGAAAGGCTCTCTGTGATTGTGGAGAAATCAATAAAGAGCCAGGCAAGGTGGCATGTAGTGCTAGTCAGCCTGTAATAATTGTCTATTTCAGCAGCGGATAGAATAACATTAGAAAATCAATTTGCTCTAAATCTGATAGCCCTGATCCACTTTGTAAGAGCTACACCACATATTAAAACTCTGCACCGCTTTAATTTTTCCTTAAAAAACAAACTCTGAGTGTGTGGGAATATTTGTTTGTCTTCATGAGACTCACCTGTACATCATCAGTCAACCTACCTGTCATAGTCTCCATTGCAGAGCGCTCTGACAGGGATGGAGAAGGGCTCCCACACAGGGTTCAGTGTGTTCTTCACCACCTCGGTCTTGTGGCAGATAGTGAACCTGGAGATGCAGTTAAAACAAACATCTCTAAAATATAAACAAACACGTGTTTGAGTCCATAAGAAAAGATTCATTCTTATATCTGAAGGAATAAATATATTTCAATAAATATTAACGTTAGCCCGCGACTTTGTTCCAGTTTTGAATTTTGGCCCACTGTGTATTTGAGTTTGACACCCCTGACTTACAGAGACGCAAATGCGAAAGACAAACTCACGTGCCATCCTCATTACTTCTGTAGAAGACCATGAAGGGGTCTGACTTTCCAAAGAAGTCCTTTTTATCCAGTTTGTTGGCACAAAATTGCATGGTGGCGTAATCCTACAGACAAAGGAGGAAGGCAGTCAGAGAAATGGAATGATGGAAAAGTACAGGATACTTTAAATCCATGCTACTGGCTGTGTTTGCCTCCCGATGTTTGTGTACACATGCTGTGTGCCAAGATATAAAAGCACTGAAGCACCAACTAAAAGCAAAGTGCTGACTGAATCTTAATAAGAGGACAGCAAATCCAAACAGTGGGCTCTAGTTTCAAAAACCTGCAAATGCATTCATTACCATTTCTTTATTATGCAACACCTGCATAACAATGTAGATGGAACACGGCAAATGAAAATACCTTGTGCTGTATAAAATAACAATAAGAGTAACCATACAGAGGCACATAAATGGATCCTAACACCCTGCACACAGAGAGGGGAGGGGCCTGTGTACAAAAGCATGTGGGGGGTGTGAGTGCAGCTAATGATACATTAGAAAGGCTGGTATTATCATAATTATACTCATTTAGGCAGCATTTCAATGTGTACTGCCACATCAAAGACAAAGAGCATGCTCCATAATGTTCTTGATTCCAGTTTGGCTCCCTGTGGTCACTCTAGAGTACAATAATGAAGCTGCATAATGGGCACACTGGACAGGTAAATGTCCACATCAGAAGAAAAGCTCTGCAAAGTGTTCTCCATCAGCATCTCAATCATCACCTTCACCTGAATGATGTTCAAACCTTCTTAACAGCTTTGTACCCCCCCCCCCCCCCCCCAAACGTACCACATATGTAAATTGGGGGTCTTATTCTCACATCTTAGAGTCTGTTAAAGTTTTATGCCAGAAGACATTGAAGCTTTCAAGGAGCAAAAGGAGGAGCTGTCTTTACCCAGCTGGTCTTCAGGGCTTTTAGGTTTTGAAGTGCTGCTGTTAGATCTAAACCAGCATGGTGCAGAGCAGGGCCTCTATTGATTGCTTTGACCCACATCAGTCGGACACGGTCTGCCACTGACCTGCCTCTCGCTAACCCCCAAAAACATCACTTTTTGCCTTGGACACAGCACTACCACGGAGCTACTACATAATTCAAAGTACAATAACTCCTGCAGTTTTCTCCTTAAGAGGGGGATATTATGCTTGTCCTCATTTTCTGCCAGTACAAAAGATGGCATAAAAGAAGAGGATGAAAGGTGGGTGTAGCCACGCGCGGGTTTCATGCCGCAGATAATCCAACATTTTAAAACCTGGTATGACCAAGATTTTCATAATAGACTTAATTTTCTATTCAGTATGATCTAAAATGATTGAGTGAGTCCATAAACTTAGCAGGAAAGTATTTACAGAGGCTACATCAGAGAGCTGTATGTTCATAGACTTCTATAGGACCAGAAGACTCTTTGCAGCCACAGCTATTTCTATTTAGTGGCCTTCAGATAGAATGACACTTCACTGGCGTCATATTTCCACACTGGAAGCTATGTATTTTAACTGTATATGCAGGACTCCAACCTGCCTATTGTTCAAGGAGCTCACTAAAAAGAAGAGTGGACTAAATAAGAGTATTCAACAAGGTCCAATGTCCAATCCTTTCACTGTGGTGGAAATGTTGAAGCAGGTGAAGAGTAAAGCTATGATTAAAACAGTCAGCGCTGGCAGCTGAATGGGTTGCTATATATCCATTTTCATTTCCTACTGTCATTTTCAGTTATTACCTACCTTTCTATCCAGCCTGCAATATCTTTGCATTTTCTACCTGCAGTGTGTCAAGCTCTCCCTCTGTGGTTTTTTCACAAGAACGTTTAATTTTCCAAGGTGCTGTTTGGTGCATTAAAACTAACACATCATGTTGGGAAAGTTTGCTTAGGTCAGATATGAAAGCCCTTAAAAAATAGATCCGTAGTATAACTGTCCTGTTTAACCCTGACACAGCTTCTACAATTACACTATCATGGCAGCACAGTGCCCTAAGCCTTCATTAGGCATGGATAACACATACCCACATCGGAGCCTAGCAGTGTTCTCTCATTAAGCGAGGAAAAGGCAGAACATTCATTTCAGCCACTGAGGTTTAGGAGCAGCAGGGGAATAGTGACTTCAGTCTACATCCTCCTACCCGTTTCTCTGCTCTACTAAGATATCACCGCATGGGGTAAGTGGCAGAGCAACGCACACTGCCACTTACAGAGAGTGGGGTGGGTCTATTCAAAGAGATACAAAGCAATGCACACAGTGCCTGAATTCATGTTACACAAGCTTATGACATCCTTGGGATTGCAGACTGTAGTGAATCACAAAATGAATCATAAGCTTCGCGCATCACTCCATTCATCCGAGCATTCGTCTATTATGACTGTAAGCCACAGGTGAAGGATTTTTTGTCAATGTAAGGATGAGCGTTATGTAAGCTCAAGAAATGAAGAACGTTTGCTTGATAAATGAAAAATGTTAGTGTAATCAGGGTTTTAATGTTACCAGAGCTAGTTTAAATTCATTCAAGAGGTTTTGTGTTATTTTATTTCATTTAATTTACTTGATTACTTTTTCCATATTCATAGGACGTGAGGCTGTTCTGTAAAGACTAAAAAGCCTCTGTAGAAAACTTGTGGTGTCAAGTTTTATAAACAAAATCGCCACTTTGTGAACAATTGTGAGTCGAACTGATAACCAGGACTGAGGTTTACAGCTTCCATATGTTAAATGTTGTGTGGTTTACTTTTATTTAAATCAGACAGAGCTGGACCGTGTGGAAGATGTGAAGCGAGCCAGCCACTGCTCTGCACTCCTATGTGCCAGAGGCAACGACAGCCAAGAGGAAGCCTTTGATCCATGCGGAGGCTGTTGCTCTGTCTAATGATACCTGGCAAATCCACCACGAAGGTGAGAGCCAGCCCAGTTCTCGATTCACAGTCCCTGCAGAACTTCCCCAGTCGATTCTCCCTCTGCTCGTCTCACTTTCCCCAAACAAGAGTTGCAGTGTTTACCTCGGGCGATGCTGCAACTCAGCTGCCTCCATTTATTGGTCACAGGTGGATTATAGAATAAACAACAACCAGATGGATGGTGGCAATCCAGACTGTAAGAATTCACAGGTGTGGTGTTGTGCTGACAGCGCTGTCTTCTGAGTCACGCTTTTAGTACGTCGTTGCTTTCATTTGCCTGTTCTTTTCTCAAACCTGAGACATTTCTGTTCAGGGTTAAATTCTGTGTATACAGGGCAGGTCTGCGGTGACATGTCTAGTCGGTGTCTCTCTAATGGAGTCCGGGAGAAGGGAAATCATCATTTGTACCAGTAACGATCATTTGCATTTATATTACTGAATCGCCTCTTGAAGAGGTGCTTTGCATTGATGATGCTAACTCCTATCATTCGCAGATCCAATGCACCTGATGACTCACAGCAGCCCTCCAATGACTGTGAGCACTGACACTTCAATCCAGCAGTGCAGAATCAGTAATGCTTATCATGGTGGTTTCATTATCAGCATGTCTTATCAGTCTCACTCTAACAGGAGACTCTTTATTTGTCAGGGAATAAACAATAAGAAAAAAAAAAACACCTAGTCAGGTACAATGATTGTTAAACAAGGTGCTTTTTTAAGCTAAACAAGTATGTCAGGAAATTAGAAACCACTGAATCATTGCTTACATGTATTAGGGAATCATAAAACATTTACAGAGAAGCTCAAGGGCTTTTTGTTCAGCCTCTGAGGGAGGCCGGTTGTTTCGGTCAATAAGTCCTGCTCCACTGGCAGCAGTATAATGTGATTATTTACTATCTTCATTTAGCAGTGTGGAGAGAAAGTCAATGGGCATTAGTGGACACAGGTTATTAACGCAGACTCATGGATTAACGCACACTACATAGGAGCAAGTGCCTGTTTTAGTGATTGAAATGAAGGCGGTCTCATTAAATAGCTATTCAACCTCATAGCATATCCACTATGTACACAAGTTCCAAATGGCAAACGCAATTGCAAAGTAACACGGCATATCCTGCTCGTTTAATGGGGACAGTTATGGCACAATATATTTCGCTGGAGTAAAGGATATTAAATATCCCACTTCACTTCAGCGGACTCGTGAACATTGCTAAACACGGATAATGGAGCAATTCCATGCAACGCAGGCGATCTCACAGTGACGTGTCACAATTTAACAATTCGCTCATTTAAAGTCAGATGTAATGATGCTTAAGGGTCGAGTTCACATGAGACAAGTGAACACTGCAAAACATTTACTCTGACACTTAAAGTGTAAACAGTTACAAAAACAAAAAAAGTATGATGGTTAAAACTTTTTGGACTTACTCGGCAGTTTCCAAGCTCCTCCGCAGACAAGATAACAGTTCCACATTTCTTCCCGGGTATACCACTGTGAAAACAAACACATATCCTTCTCTCATCCAAGTAAAACTTTCACAGCGATCCATTTTGACCATTTTTTAGATGTTAGCAGGTGAACAATTAGAGGCATTGTGTTGCATTTTGTTATACTAATCCATGATGCCAGTAAACAGCAAGAATTGTCAGTAGTTCTAGCATCCTCTTTTGTAAATTCCACTGAATCCGGTTATCTTTGGGAAAGGGGCCGAAACATCTAAGTGGAGCTGAAACGCTTTCTTGTGTCTTTCTATTCTACAAGTTTGATTTCACACCTTCTGAGCGATAGAAGAGGAAAGACCACAGATAAGATTCATGGATGTAGCGAAGGAGGACACGCACAGGGCTGGAGTGGCAGAACAGGACACTAGGGATAGGGTGAGATAGAGGCAGAAGATTTCCTGTGGCAACCCCTAAAGGAACCAGCCATATAAAGAAGAATAACCTTTTTGAGAGACAGAAGTATCAATAATTAGAAATATTTATGTTTCTAAGATTCTTCTTTGTTTGAATTGTACAATAAGGCTTCATTTCTGGCTTATTTTCACATCCAATTGTATTTTAAATTCAGTAGTATATAGAATTGCAATGTTAATTTAGTATGACAGTGTGACAGCTCTAATGAGCACATTATTCCTTTTTCTCCACCTTAAGTGAATCAAAAACAAGTTATAAATATAGGCTCCCAAGTTTTCAGAGCAGTGTGATATCAGACTGCTGAGAAGCCGAGCTCTTCCGATTCCCGATTGCCAGCACCATATTGAGACTTTAAAGCTGCAGTTGTTTACCACTGATTCACGCTCCAGCAGATGATCAAGACATATCGCAGCACAAGAGGCGCTCTCTGCATGTCTGTGTTTCCATACATCACCTCTTCACTAAGCTGCCAATCCAGTGGCTGATTCTAACAAAAATAGAGACAGCGCTGCATCACAGTTTGTCCTAAATGTTATTTGGCTGTATTTTTTGAAGCGGAACAAAATGACTTTTTTTCCCCTGATATCCAATCTAACCAGCTCTCAGCATCCACTGAAGCTGTGAGAAGAAGGCAGAATCCATTCGACCCAACACGGAGCAATACACCATATCTGTTTTCCAATCATACAATAGCATTCCAGCTGCTACAGCTCCCATCATCCTTCTGGATAAAAAAGGAAATTACACGAGTGTCCTGCTGTGGCCTTAGCTGGAGACCAGTCATTAGAAGGTCAGACTTGCTGTGACAGACTTGTTCATCAAGCTGTGATAGCTGATCTGAATATCAGTACTACTACATACATACTGCTAAGCAAGAGGCAGCCTTTGACTATAATGGCAAAAGTTCCTTTATTCATAACATCAATCTCAAGCACGAACCTAAGTGAACTTTCAGAACTGGATTATATCAGAGAACCAGGGCCTGCCTGCACATGAGATTTCTGTAATGTTTTTAGGACGTATGGTACGAGGTGTTTTCCATTCATCTCAATCAGGTTTGCCAGGACTGCATCACAAGAAGTAAAGCTCTATAAAACCAGTTGTCATGCTGTGGAGGAATAGTTCTCCAGGCTTCTCTTGTGCTTGAAGGACATCTGGCCACTCTTCCATTAAGAATATTTCAGACTAGAAATGTTCCTCTCAGGTCTTTGCCAGATTTTTCTTATTTCCTAAGAATATGATTTGCTGTTTATCTGAGGTACAGATAAGGACACTGCAAAGTAGAGATATGCAAAGTTTTCAGCTAATGGTTCTTTGGGAATCACCTTTCAGCTAAAGAAAGGAACAACGTCTGTGTTGTTGCAAAAGCCTGTTAGTAACAAAGTGTCTAAAGATGAGATTTTAAATTGTCTGTTTGCCAATTTGTCTAAGATGTAAAGACAACACTGGTTCATCCCTTGAGTTAGGCGCCTTTGTCATGCTTGAAATATTCATAGGTCAAAAAAGTGCTCAGATACAAGCAATAGACTGAAAATGAGTGAAAAAGCAGCCAATGCTCAAAGAACAACTTTGAAAGACCTTGAGCAAGCCTGGACAACTATTGCTCATGACCGCTTTACAAATTCTTTACATTTAAAAAAGTCCAGCTCCTGGGTACTAAAATATAAAGAAATGAGGGTCTGAGAGAGTTTTATACAGTACTGTACCTCAACACAAATCCACTTAGCACTGAATTGTGGCTGCTGCATCTGCTTTCATGAGGCAAAAGGAAAAACTGAACTCTCACGGAGCAGGTCTGCTTAGTTTTCGGGCTTTATCTTGGAGGTCCACAGAGACCCGTCTCAGGGTGAATTAACTGTCCTTGAATTATTGATGCTTTACTCCAAGTCACCACCGTGCAGTTTGATGGTGCCTTGAAAAGCGAGTAAAGCTCTAACCAATGATGCCAGTAAACCCTGCACGCTCCACTGGTCACATTATCTCCCTGAGGTCACAATAATGTTAGATATTCCTATTAAACCAGGAAATGAGATCCAGCAATTGGTAAAGTATCAGCTCCAGGCACGTTTAGATGCACCACCCTACTCTAATCTCTGCGGCAGAGAAGAGAGCAGGTACCAAAAGGGCAATGGTCTTTTAAATCAGGTATGCATTATTGAGTTTGCAATTTCCCCTGACAATGACTAGTTAACATGAAGAGCAAGCAAGCAAGCAAGCACTGAATGGATAAATACAGTTCCTACTAATTATCGATCAAACGTGACTTTGGGGGTTTTTTTCTCTAAATTTTTCTGCTCCGTGCTGCGATGTGACTGCAGGTGATACAAAGTGTCCTGCATCAGGAGGCTTCATTCTCACAGCACTCATATACTGATGGTTTTTCAGTGGGGAAAATGCTTTGATGATGAAATTATGTGAAATTTTTGGCTGTGGTCCTTCTTTCCTGTAAATCCCCAATGAACACAGTCTACATTCTGTCAGCTGTGGGGAACCAACAGGATTTAATCAAGGTGGTCGTGTAAGTGCAAAACACATTTGTAACATTTTTAAACGAGTCCGGTACAACAAGATGAAGCTATTTTGTGATGTTTCACAGCCTGGCAATCCCCAGCTTAGCACAGCAACAATTTGAGACCTTCACTGTTTCAAGTTACACCATCATGAATGTTCATGTCAATACACAGTATTGCCCTGAATATGTTTTTTTTCTAGCACACAGATGGCTCTGTTTTACAGTAATTCCTGGAGATTGTTCTAGATACATGGCAAAAGTCAAATAGTTGGCTTAGTAACCAAAACTGTAACAATGGGGAATGACGCAGAGAGAGAACTCTTTTAAAGAAGGAATAACAGCATTTACATTCTGAGTTACAGAAAGTCTTAATGTGGACAACTTGTTCAGAGAAGGCTGGCAGCCTGTTAATATAAAAGGCTGATTAATGCAATATGGTAATATTCCTGCAGCATAGCAATACAGGTGAGTGACTGCAATAACCGCATGCTAAGTATGTATGATGATCCTTTCCACCATTCTTAGTCCTCCATAATTCATCCAGTCACTTACAGGCTTCCCTTGGCACTCAGCAGACACAGTACCATAAGGGCCTGACCAACTAAATTCTAGTCCAGTGCAGAAACCTCAGCAGGACTAATTTTTAAAGTCAGATTAGCATCATGTCTGCTGTTCCTCCTTTTCCACAGAATCCCCCAGGATCAAACAAAACTTCATGAAGAAGAGAAACAAATAGAGAGAGAAATGAAATAGCGCCTTGTAGCACAGCAGCTTCCTTTACCCAGAAAGAAACAGAGGCAAGAAGTGCTGTCATGCTCTTAGCTCTGAAACAGAGGGTTAGCTACAGCTGCCTTGACAGAACCCCTGTTTGATCAACTGAATGGAGAGAGATCAAGCAGCATATTTCAACATTACTACAATTGGCCAAAGTTTTTGATACTGCTGTTCTGCAGAATACCGATGAGAGTACTGGGTGTCTCTATTTGCCAGGGAACCATGTATGCGAACCATTTATTCCTCCAAAACGCAAGCATCAGAGATTATTAGGCATGACATATTATAATATGGATATTCAGGCTCAATGTATGGCCTCTATAATTTCCCATCTAGAGGCAGTTGCTGTCATGAAATAGTGATTCACAATCCCTGTATTCTCCATTACCTATCTGTGCGGAGGTCGGGTGGATGGAGGATGGTGAGATTAAAGTCCGAAGAGGGAGAAGGAAGCAATTGTTGATGCCGTTCACATTAGGTCATTAGGATGAGGGATGGTCTTGATATTTAACGACAGCGCAACGTGTCACGCATAAGAGAGTGAGAGAGGGTTATCTGCTCAACAACATGAGTGAGAGTCCTAGAAGAAGAAAGCGATTTTTTTTTCACACTGCAGTTTCTGCAGGGTGGGTCTGCATATTTTTTTTTCCTGTGACGCATAGTGGCTGCACTGCTATCGTGCAAAGAAGTGTTATATTGCAATTTCACACCTAAATGGCAATTAATCACTTAAAACAAATTATTCAGTAAGGTTAGGTGCGAGCACAGCAAGAAAAAAAAGGATCGGTTTAACTGCATTTCACTGCGACTGTCCAGGTCAGTGAATTTAGTAAATCTGCCTGGATGACAAGGGGACTGATATAAATGAACAAATCTAACGAGTTCCAGTCGAGTCAAAGGCTAGCAGAGATGGGTGGAAGGCAGATAATCGGGCTTTGTGCCACTGTAACCATATGGGGCAGTGGGCATATCATAGCTGAACAGAATTAGCCAAGGTTGCCAAAACTCTTTGTGGGTTTAAATGGGATTATACCACTAATCCCTCTGATCTTCATATACCGATAAGAATCCATAATCCTTCACCTTCCCAAGATTTTTTTAAGAGGATGAAAAGTGCAACGGCTTATTCAAAAGGGCACCAGAATACCCGCTGTATTTCTCAGACAGGAGCTCCTTCCTACAGGTATTGCAGGAGGAGATGCTGTTTGTGTTCAAGGCTGGTAGCCACAGGCTACCTGTGCTTAGCTTTTTGAGGCTCTGTCAGAATGAGCACAAAGCTGGTAAACACG